GGGGGGGGAGACCTTTGTAAACGTGTTCTCAAGAAAACGGGATCGACACTCGGAGCGACTGGCCGAGCAAAGGCACAAGGGAGGGGCGGCGGGGGGGGGGTCTACGAATGCCGACTGCTGATAAAACCGCCGCGATCCGCACGACGTAACGCCGCGCAGATATTCCCCCGGCGGTCACAGCTGCGGCACTGCGCACTCTTTTAACCCCGGTCACAAGCTCCGATAAACACATCGCAGCCATCTATCCACGGACGATGTTTGGGAAACTGAAAACCAAGAGCGAAACGAGTCCCGGGTTCCATTTTTAAGCAGCGACAAACTTTGATTCACAACCAGAGGATCCGTAGACTGGCGGCTTTAATGTTGGATTTATCTGCTCCAGGCCTCTTGGCGTGAGACTTTATTTTATTTCTGTGATTGTATCGCACTGCTCGGAAAATCCCCCCCCCACCCCTCTATCGACTGGGTGTCTGCCTGACTTCACATGTTCTTGTACAAATGCTTGGCAAATGCAATTGTACCCAATTTTTTTTAGCGTGTTGCAAAAAATACATTCTGGTAGAGAAATCAATTATGGCGCAGGCGTTCCGGCCTCCACTGGGCCCCCTGTTTTAGAATTAAAATATCTTATTTTTCTGGTGTTTGTTTCTCTATCTTACAGAATAAAAGTAACTATAAAAAAACTGCGCTCCGCCCAACTGCCGTCATTTAACGCGAAGCTTCGTGCAGAGTGTTGAAGGACAATTGATTTTGGTTTACAAGGGGCTACAATATCAATGAAAAGAAAAAAATCATAATCTGAATGTGTATAGCCTCTGAAGATGCCGTACAGGGCAAGAAAAATAAACGTAAATATACGCAGCTGACGCGAGGGCGGGGGGGCCGCGAGGCCAGGCACTCCTCACGGCCGGACACCAACACAACGCAATACCACAGCATGTAATGTAATACGGACATAATTTCATACACTACTGTGCGATATAATACAATAGAATATAATCTAATATAGTACAATGTAACACGACAGTACAATACATAATGAAACATAACACTGTAATAAAATAATACATCGCACAACATAATACACGATGACAATTCAATGTAATATGACAACATAATACGAGGCAGCATGATACGATACAATCCAATACGGTACAATGCAATACGACAAGACGACATGATACAACGCAACACGATGGAATACAATGCCGTATGGCAACACAATGCAACGTAAGACTAAACAATACATCACGCTACAATACAGACTATACAATGAGGCCAATAAACAACGTACAATATCATAGAGTAACGGAATGCAACACAATGTTAGATACAACACAATAAATTAAGCACGACGTAATGGAGCAGCACTTACAAACACAATGCAACACAGTACGGCAATACAACGCAAAGGCAATCTAACTCGGCACAACGTGAAATCAGCACGCGGCACGTGGCAGCATGGCCGCACGACGTGACGGCGGCCAATAACAACGCGGTAGAATTCAGAGGAGCGACGCGGCTGCATGTCCACAAAAATGAAGGCTGTGCGGATGCTGAGATGATTCCAAAAAAGGGGGATTTGATTTCCGTGAAGGTGACGGTGGGGTGAGGGACCGCAGGACGCGGCGCTGCAGGGAGTAGAGACGCCGCTGCGGTGACGATGGAAATACGGGACGCGTGGACAGGTGAAGTGGCCGGCCGTGGGCACAGGAGAAGGGAAAAGCATTGGGCATCGGCTTCCAGAGAGTGGGGCTGCAGAGGAGAAGGAGCGACCTTCCCACTGTGTAGAGGTTGGTGGTTCAATTCCTCGCTCGCACTCACCGCCTCCAAGATCCTCCATGGACTCGCCTCTACCTACCTCTCCCTCTCATCTCACTCTACTTCCTCCCAACACTCTGATACCTCTCCCTCTCATCTCACTCTAGTCCTCCCCATGCTCTCTCTGCTTCAAGAACCAAGGCTTTCTGTGGAAGCCCACAGTCAACCTTCGCTCATTCTCCTCTGCTGCCCCCACAGTCTGTCGACTCCATGTCACTGTTCAAGTCGAGGCCGAAGATCTTCCTCGCTTCCTCTGCTCGTAACTGGCTGCCTCTCTCTCTAAAATAAACTTACGCATGATTTGTGCACAGCGCCTTAAGACGTGGCCTCAGCCAGATGTCACATAATTCCGCATGGCATTGATCCATAGACTCACAGCGAGACCCAAACACTCACTGAGGCTCACAGACCCAGACTCACATACAGACACACAGACTCAGAGACCCTCATACTCACATACCGATCAATACACTCACACAGGAACCCATAAACTCACACAGAAACATTTAGACTGAACGTCTTGCTCTGTAAAATAAACACGGCACCGCTTCTGTTCGGCGGCTTGAGATGCAGTCGCATTTGGTCGCTACGTGAGTCCACGTCGCGTTTTCTCGTCGTTTCACCCAGGGCTGGCGGGTTGCTCGAGGGGGAGGGGCGCGGGGGAGGAGAGACGGCCGAGGGAGCGAGATGAGGTGACAGATACAGGATGGGCAGATCCCAGGAAGGATCTTGACCGGTGCCAACGCCACTTCTTCCAACATCCAGGAGCAAAGCCCCACCCCCCCCCCCCCAAACGACACGACGCGATTGATTTCCTGGCCGAGAGGTTAAAGATCAAGGTTATAATGCTCCCAAAACCTGTCATTACTGCACATTCGTCTGTCCTCACTCGGATTGGTGCACGCCACCAATCTAGGCAGCAGCTGATGCCTGGCTTGAGGAACACAAGAGCTTGGGCTTGGATTTCGCCTCTAGGTGAAAAGGTCAAAGTTCAACAACACAATGTGCTTAACGACTGTCACAAAGAACGGGTTACGTGGGTTAAATTATATCCACTGCGCACGTTTAATACAGTGCGCACGGCTTGCGGGTCACACGTAAGGCTGTCAATACACACGTGGAATGTTTACTACTTCTTCATCAGCAGCAGCGGCAACAGCCATGACCGATCCACTGCTGGATGAAGGTCTCCCTGAATACAATACCCACATTTAATTATTCATGTGGCTTGTGGCGCCCGAGAGTGTTTGTGCGTGTCAGGCCGTGCGGCAGCCTACCCCGTTCACGTTTGTATCTTATTTATATTATTATGATGATGATGATTTAAAGTTCATGACTTCGGTTTTATTTTCATTGTTTTTTCGCATCGTTTAGATGTCCAAACGGTCGCCTCGCACCGTGTCTCGAGACGCTCTTGTGTAGAAGAGATGCATGAACATAATTCGAATCTTAGCCAATTCCATGACGTACACATTCACAATCGAGTCGTAATTATAAAAAGTGTAACAGAGCGATGAACTGGGCTCGTGCGTAGGAACCAGACGGATTCTTGGGTGGCGAGACCGTGAGAGACGCAAATGGTTTGAGGGAGGCCTTCATACAGCAATGAATAGATCAGGGCTGATGATGATGGTAAATTATTATATCAACATATTCGTATTTACGATTTATACCATATTCTCATGGAAAAACTGAAATTAACTATTGTTTTTTTCCAGGTAAGGCCCACTGAGCTATATAGCTCTTTTCCAGCAGTGACCTGGCCACAAAGAGAAGTGGCTTATCATCGTGTGGAAATGTAATGCAGCCAAATACTCGAAATGCACGTTGATTCTAAATGTAGAGGGTAAAACTGGAGGACCCGGAGAAAACTCCACGCAACCATGGGGAGAGAGAGAGAGAGAACATGCAGACCCCAAATATATATGTGTCATGGTCGGGATTGAACCCACGACCTCCTGTATACCAGGCGAGGCAGTTAACATCTCGGCACCGATAATAACACCAACAAATGTAATACAGGATGGAACTCGCATCCCGTAATTGCGACGGTCAGTCTCGCCGATCTGCCGGCCACCCCATCGAGCGTCTTCTCGGGGCCGTCCCTGAACTCTGAAACGGCTCGAAGGCAGAAGACACGGACACGTGGCGCTCGGCCCAGCGACGTGAGTAATGGCGACGCGCGGCAGAGACTCCGTAAATCCCGCGTGCGGGCACGACGCGGACGCGGACGCCCACGGACATCGCCCCGCAAGCGGCGCACGTCGGTGGGGAATAAATTTGCCGTTTAATTGCGAGGTACGCAGCATAGGGGTGCAATTAGCAAAATGCGTGCGGGGAGGCCAGCGTGGGCACATTACGCCATGCCCTATTTTTTCCCGATGACTTCACTGAAGACGGTGCAGATCCAGGAGAGGTCAGGGTTTTTTTCCATCCCCCTCGGCAGGCACAGTGGCACAAGCCCGTCCGCTAATTGAGCCTCCCCTATTGAACCCAGGCGACTCATCACCGACCGGTGCTGCCAGTTATCAAACGGGCACCGCTCACGGCACGCTACGCACATAAAAGAACGCGGCTGACTGTTTGGTGGAGTTTGCGCGGGCGTTGTAGTCGCTCGCTGCGCTGCCGCAGGGAGATGCAGGTTGACGATGCAAGTCGACGACGCAGCTATCTCTTACACCGATGACAGATCATTAGGAATAGCCCACCATGCGACCCCAGTCACCAATCTAGGAGCTTGAACCATGCGGTAACACCACTGCCCCGCTCTTCAATCACTTAAGTCTACGGGTGTCTACGTGAGTTTATGGATCTCAGTGTAAGTCTTATGAATCTCCACGTGAATCTAAATCTCCCCCCACGGCCCACATAGTAACCTCACTCCCATCAGCTTCGATCGTTCACTGCCCTTGTTTGAGACGTTCACCGCGAGGCTCCCCCTGAAGCTGTCCACACCGGCTCGCCCGTCAGCGTGAACAAACGCGGTCGGAACGAACGTGGTCGGAACGAACGCGGTCGGAACGAACGCGAGCGCACCGCTCGTCGACTCCCCTTCCGCACCAAACGCACCAAAAGAGCGGCAGCGGACAGCTGCTGCCGAAGCAACCGCAAAAAGCGACGACGGTTTGCAAAAATCCCTGCGCAACGCGTCCTCGCTTGGCCCGGCCGGCGGTGGCGTGGCGCAGGTGGTGACGGTCAGAGGAACGACCGTTCGCCGCGACCGTTGGGAGAAGAATTTGGCCGCGGCTCAGTGGCTCTCGCCGCAAATAAACATCGACTGGGATGCAGATCCCCTGGACGGGTGCGGCGCGGTCGGCGCATCTCACGCCGCGATCGCCCAAGGTGACAGCAACTTCATCCTCGAGTCATTAAAATTAACGCACCTCTCAAAGAAGTGCGCACAGTTCCGGGAATGTTTTTCAGCGAATTTTAACCGATTGTTCACTTCCTTTTAAAGCATCTTTCTCTTTTTTTCCTTCCAAACTCCCATTTCCCTTGAATTTTTGAACCGATTTCTTTTAGGACTTAACTCTAAAGTGCTTCTCAAAGAATGTCATTAAAGAACATTTGTTCAATCAACCCCATTCAATAACTGTCAGGATAAATTATGTTCACTTACTCTGATGCACAGGGAGGGGTGGGGGGTGGAAAGAGAAAAGCCGGAGTGATGGGCGAGAGGAGGTGGGGGGTGGGCAGCAGGCGAGGAGGGAGGGGGCGTGCGGGTGGGGGCCCGATTGCTCTTTGGGGACCCAGGGCCTGTCCGGGTCAGGGCCCCACCCTCACAGACCTTTGCTCGCCATCCTCCTGATTACACGCAAACAAAGTCCCCCCTTACATGCAATTACTGCCCTCGGGGTTGTCTTCCTGCAGCCACTCAAGCAAGCCACCTGCGCAGATAAAACCGCACGCGGCCCCTCTCCCGGATCTTCGGTTGCTTCCGTCGACATCGGACAAGTCCAGTCCCCTGTGCGGGAGAGAGGAAAAAAACGCTCTTCGTGGTTAACCTCCCGTGGTGGAAGAAGGTCTCGCACCGCCAAATGCTGGCTTGGGAATTCTTTTCTGGTGTCCCGCTGATGGTATCGAGACCAGGGAACTCTTGCGAACGAGACCCTATCCTGGTCTCACTCTTTCTGAGTTCTCACTCCGGTTACGCAAAAAAAAACCTGAAACGTGAAAGGGCGCTACCGATTTTTGATAACTTACAAAACAAAATTAGCGTTACAATATTTCGTGAACATTTCCGCCGGGTTGAAACACTTTGAGCTTCCAAGAGATAAGAGCCAGCCTCGAGCGAGGCTCTGGGAACCTGGAATTCTGCTCTTCTGCATTCACGGACAAAGGGCACGCACGCTGGCGGAGCTGCATCAAATGCACTTCTCTGTTGGTGAAAGGCAACATGTGTGTCTCTGTGCTCAGATGGGCATTTGGTGGTGCTCAATTTGCAACTTTGGCCAACCAAAGCCAGAAGGTGAAATTCCATATTCCTATGGCAGGGCCCAGTCTTCCCCCGAAGAAGATCACTGTTACATGCTGTAAAGCATATCATGATAAACAAGCCAAAATATGACGTGGTTCTATTATTCATTTATTTGGTTGGAGGGGCGGCACAGTGATTAGCACACAGTGCTAACCACCTGGTTGCTTGAATTTAATTCTCAGCCATGGCTTACATCAGCGGCGGGTGACAGCTTAACCAACCTTGGGCACCCCTCTTTCGCAGACCCGTACCGACGAGCACGGTTAAGTATGGTCAACCTTCCCCCATTACCGTCGTGGGGAAGACTTTCACTCGGCGAAAAACCGACAAAGGACTGTGAATCCTTAAATTCCTACACGATCATTAATTTGAGCTTGCGGGGCCGTAAGAGATGGTGGTGGCTTGGGGAGGCATTCATCGAGCAGTGGATTGACCAAAGTTGACGGTGATTTCTTTAAGCAGGCAAGAACCCCACCGAGACTCTGTTGATGTCTCCTGTGAGGGGGTCGAGCGAGTGGTCTCAGCGACGTCGCTGACGCGCGTCGAGAGAGCGATCGTTGAGAACGGCGGCGGTGGTGACGGAGAGGGGGGTGATGGTGGCGGAGGAGGGTGGGGGGGCTATTCACGGTGGCCGAGCGTGAGAGGTGTCGCCGCGCGCAATCGCCGCCCTGGGCCGGCAGCTGCCGGGCCGCTCGCACCGCTGACGCGGTAGCAGCAGTCACTCAGGTGAGAAGTGCGAAGCATGCAATTTTCAGGCGCGACACCTGGCGGTATTAGTGGAGAGGAGTGATAATAGGGTGCACCGTGTCCCGGCACCATACATTATTAATTGTAACAGCCGTCTAAGATTGAGAGCGCTACGGGGGGGCAGTGTGGGGCTGTGGAAGCGACCGCCTCGTAAACACTCTGCCTCTCCTTGTTGCTCCTGCACACACAGCCACACATACACACAGCCACACACACAGCCACACACACACAGCCACCACACACACAGCCACCACACACACACAGCCACCACACACACACACAGCCACACACACAGCCACCACACACACACAGCCACCACACACACAGCCTACCACACACACACAGACACAAACACACACACAGCCACACACACACACAGCCACCACACACACAGAAACACACAGCCACCACACACAGACACACACACAGCCACCACACACAGCCACACACACACAGCCACCACACACACAGCCACCACACACACAACCACACACACACAGCCACCACACACAGCCACACACACAGCCACACACACACAGCCACCACACACACAGCCACCACACACACAGCCACCACACACACACAGCCACCGCACACACACAGCCACCACACACACACAGCCACACACACACACACAGCCACACACACACACACAGCCACCACACACACAGCCACCACACACACAGCCACCACACACACAGCCACCACACACACACAGCCACCACACACACACAGCCACCGCACACACAGCCACACACACAGGTGGCCATGTCGTTAACGTAACACTTTCTGGGGGCCGGGTGTCTCAGGGGTTACAGCGCCGAGCCGGAGGCTGCTGGCAGGCCGAGTTTGAATCCAGGCAGCCGCCCGCCTGTGATTAGAAACCGCGTTCACGAGCGTCGCAAACAGAACAGCTCAGCCCCATCACCAATGATGGCACCCAAAAAATCGCATTAAACATTGCTTCTACACTGAGAATTTAAATGGTCTTACTCATGCGACAATGAACATTAGTTTTACTCATGCGAAGATGAAGGGAACTCATCTGTAGCGCTATGATATCCGCTTCCATGGGCCATTCTCTTACAAATGGTTGCACTACTGTGCGAGAGATCTAAATGGTAACTTAATTTCATGATGTAACAACAATTGGGAATAATTGGGGGAGAAAAAACGTTCTTTTTCATTATCTAAAATTCAAGCTCTACTCTTCGCTCTGGGTTTTAACTTGGAGATGGTCTTTTATGATACCCGATGTCTAGGAATCTTTCAAGGCGCAGTGGCAACTTGACGTTTTTCTCGACGTGCTAGGAATTCGGTTGCCGAGCTCCCAGGACGTGGAGAGAAACATCGGGGCATCATGCTGAACGACAAAGGGGAACAACCCGAAAACGTTTCCGAGAGTGAGCGCAGAGCGTGCGCGTGGCTACCGCCACTACCGCTACCGCACCGGAGCTGTCGGCCAGACGACCTGAGGTGTGACGTGGCTGAATTCAGCAGAGCGAAGCCCCATGACTGTGGGCTGCGGGGGCGACGAGTTTGGCATTAGCCGAGCAGGAGCTGACAACTGCAATATTACACATTTTCTGTGTTTGTAGGAGTATAATTTGCCGCAAAACAATAAAGTGATCCACTTACGCATGCTTGTGCGTGTGTACAGGGCACACGATAAATGTAAAAATGCTGCTCATGCCGTTACGATGATGGCTTATTTATGAAATGCAAATCATAAAACATTGATTTTTTTATGCTTGTTCAAAAGACAACAGTTGATGCGCAGCTCCCTGGCAATCTTCAAGATACTGGCTGTGGAAAGGCACCCGATTCCATCAGATCCCAGAAGCTAAGCATTGTGTGGACTTGGATAGGGTGAGTTGGGGGACCGTCGTCCGCGAGACAGGTTACCGCTAAGAGCCTCCCACCGTCGGCAGCGTAGGGCGGTTCAACAAAATTCACTGTTATACCGTGTTCCCATGCTCCTGTGTTTCCATGCTCCTGTGTCTACGCTCCCTGCCTTCACAATCCCACAGTGACCAGCACAGAAAAGTATGGTCAAATAACCCCCACAAGCCACGGGGCGTGGGGAGGCCTTCATCCAGCAGTGCATTGACAAAATAGGCTGTGTACGTAAGCGGATTTCGATACACGCTCTTACGAGTAAAGAAATACGCTCGACCTGGTGCGTCACGTCACGCGCGCAGAATTTGTTTTCCAGACTTCCGTGTGTGCAGCAGCTGAGCAGTCTGCCTATGCAAATCGCGATTGCGTAATCATCACAATGGGTGCTTTGAGGCTCTGCGGTGGCTGAGCTGCCGATATTGCTTTTTCTCCAGCCGGCCAGTCATTCATTTTGTAGGCCTCAATGGTTAAAAGTACAGTCTCCAGCGCTGATAATCCACTCGATCTCTCTGGCCTCTCTCTCCATGGTGCCATGAAGAAGGGCCATTGCCCGAAACGTCAAATAGGATAGACTTTTCCTTTTAAGCCCAAACACAGTGGGTTGTTATTGATGAACGTGTTGATGTTTTTGTTTTACACAGTTGATGAGCACAGGCACGAGGCCCAACACGTCCAGTTGGCCAGCAACAAACAGCACTGTCAGGGTTGTCATGGATAATTGTGTAACACGTTCCTTGAATTAAGCAAAGTTGCTTCTCATAAGAGCTGGGGGGAAATGAAACGACGGGAGTGAAGTCTTGTAACCTCAAGTGCGTGAGTGTGGGTGAGTGAGTGTTGTTATAACCTGCAGTGCGGTGGGTGAGCTTGTGAGTGAGCTCGTATCGTGTTTAATGCGATGCGCTACGAACCCGATGACCCGAGTTCGATTCCCACTCATGGCCACCAACACCAGTGATGATTATCTGAAAAAGTCCTGGGCCTCCCCTAGGCCGATGTACAAAGATCACAATTAGGGAGACAAAGGCGACCAGGTGTGATGCTGGCCACCCACCTCCTCTCGTGTCCTGTTCCAGCCTTCATAGGTGCTCTCAAACAGCACTTGCCCCAAAAGTCTGCTAAGGCTATACGTGAAACATTTGTTGTCTTTGTGAGCAAGTGAGAGGGCTAGCGAGTGAGTGAGTTGTTGTGACCGGCAGTGTGGCGGTGGTGGTTGAACACAGCGGTGGTGGATGTAAATGTTATGCCAGTGTCTGTCAGGCCGAGTCCTGGACATGGATGGGGCGAATCGACAGGCGAGTCATTGGCACACTTTTCCCATCACGAAAAACCGCGGGCACAAAGGCCCTGGTCTCATAGCAACACCGCTCGTGTTACGGCATTTAAAACCTCAGCATAAAACTTCGCAGATTGTTTCTATGAGAATAAAATTGTAAAAAGTATTTGTGGAAAAGCACTTCAAATGAAGAATGCTTTCACTCTTTGCCTCCCTGTGAGTTTTACGTTTGTCTGGAGTGTCATGTGGAGATGCTGGCCTACTTCGCCATACGGGTCAAGAACGGAACTCAGGTTAACCACGGAGGGCGAAGAGAGGGCAGTGGCTGAGATGGGGGGGGGGGGGGGCACTGGGTTGCAGTGCGCTAACCACTGTGCCACCATTCTACCACTCGATTTGAAACATCATCACATGTATCCATGCCACGTGCAATGCAGTTAGCACAGACCCGTGACCATAATATGCTTATTCAAATTGCTCAGAGCAGTGAAAACTAGAATAAAACATATAAAGGTCCTGCATTTGTGTTCCATGCTAGCCCGTGTTTGACGACAGTGGGGGTGACCTTCATCCAGCAGTGGAGTGACAATTGGCTGCACATTGGTGTGGCTGTTGGTATTGTTGTTGACAAGGAACGGCCCCCGGAGCCGGCTGGCGGGAAGCGCTGCCTTTATTGAAACATCGGCGTAGCGCCGCCGCTGTGCCCCGCACACTAACTCAGGTGTTTACCGGCGAGGCAGACGAGCGGCAAAGTGAAACCCGCAAACCCTCCAGGGTTATCGGAGCGTGTTTGGATTTCACCACTTGATGGGAACATGGAAATCTATTTAGGGGGGGGCCCACAGAGGCAGAAAAACCCCCAGTCAAACGTACGATTTCAGCAAATACAACACGATGTTTTACTATAACCAATGGGTGTAGTAAGAATACCAGTACGTTTTCAATCCACTGCTGGATGAAGGCAACGTGAGGCGCTTGAATATACTTCGCTATGGTGGGCAGTGCAGGTTGGTGAATGAGTGGCCAGGAGTGGTTGAGATATCACTTGTCGCCGATTTGTTACCTGTGGTTTGAGAATCAAGCTCAGGTGGGGCAGGGTTCAATATTTCAACACACCTCCAACTTAATTCATCAAATGCATGATGTTATAATTATCAAACGACACTGGTAAGCTAAAATCAGAATCGTAGGCGATCATCTTATTGGTTAAAAATGCGCGAATCGATTTAACTTAGCACAGGGCCTTCAACAGCAGGCCCTCACGACTTTTTGACTCCTCGTGACATTTCACGCCGGAAAATAAATAAGCGCAACTGTTTCGAGAATCACGACCAAAAAAACCCCAACAACAACAGCAGCAGCAGCGAGCGGCCCATCTGAGATGACCTTGTTCAAATGAGCGGGCGAGGCTGAGGGGAGGAGGAGGGGGGGTGGTTTGTTTTGGCCGTGGTTGAGATGGGGGAAGAGGTGCGGCTCCAGTTTTTCCTCCAAAATCCCTAACGAAGCAAGGAACGAGCGAGGACAGCTTCACGCCCTGGACCCGGTCCCCAGCGAGCGCCCGCCCAGCCTCCCCCTAACTAACCCCGCGCTCGCACGCCCGGTCGCTCGCCCGCCAGCCCACGCCCCGCCACCACGCCGCCCCCCATCACATTTGTCTCACCCTATTGATTTTCAACTCATCTTATTGGTCCCTAACATAATTATATAGGGGGGGGGGCCCCCCCTTCTCCCTCCGCCCGGAATCGTCGCGTGTTCACGCCGCTGCCGCGTCCTGGAGTGGGTGGGCTGGGGTCTCGTGCGGGCCGCGGTTAGGGGGGCGGGGGGGGCGGCGGTGGGGGCGGGGGGGGCGGTGGGGGGCGGGGGGGGGGCGGTGGGGGGCGGGGGGGGGGGCGGTGGGGGGCGGGGGGGGGGCGGCGGTGGGGAGCGGCGGGGAGAGGGGGGGTGAGCAAAGGGGGGGGGTGAGCGGCGGGGGGGGGGGGGTGAGCGGCGGGGGGGGGGGGGGTGAGCGGCGGGGGGGGGGGTGAGCAAAGGGGGGGGGGGGTGAGCAAAGGGGGAGAGTGAGCAAGGGGGGGGTGAGCAAGGGGGGGGGGGTGAGAAAGGGAGGTTGAGCAAGGGGGGGGGGTGAGCACGGAGGGGGGGGGTGAGCAAGGGGGGTGAGCACGGAGGGGGGGGGTGAGCAAGGGGGGTGAGCACGGAGGGGGGGGGGGGTGAGCAAGGGGGGGTGAGCACGGAGGGGGGGGGGTGAGCAAGGGGGGGTGAGCACGGAGGGGGGGGGGGTGAGCAGGGGGGGGTGAGCACGGAGGGGGGGGGGTGAGCACGGAGGGGGGGGGGTGAGCACGGAGGGGGGGGGGGGTGAGCACGGAGGGGGGGGGGGTGAGCACGAAGGGGGGGGGTGAGCACGGAGGGGGGGGTGAGCACGGAGGGGGGGGGTGAGCACGGAGGGGGGGGGGTGAGCACGGAAGGGGGGGGTGAGCAAGGGGGGGTGAGCACGGAGGGGGGGGGGTGAGCACGGAGGGGGGGGTGAGCAGGGGGGGGTGAGCACGGAGGGGGGGTGAGCACGGAGGGGGGGGGGTGAGCAAGGGGGGGTGAGCAAGGGGGGGTGAGCACGGAGGGGGGGGGGGTGAGCAGGGGGGGTGAGCAGGGGGGGGGGTGAGCACGGAGGGGGGGGTGAGCAAGGGGGGGTGAGCAAGGGGGGGGTGAGCACGGAGGGGGGGGGGGTGAGCAAGGGGGGGTGAGCACGGAGGGGGGGGGGTGAGCAGGGGGGGGGGGGGTGAGCAAAGGGGGAGAGTGAGCAAGGGGGGGGGTGAGCAAGGGGGGGTGAGAAAGGGGGGTTGAGCAAGGGGGGGGTTGAGCAAGGGGGGGGGTGAGCACGGAGGGGGGGGTGAGCAAGGGGGGGTGAGCACGGAGGGGGGGGGGTGAGCAAGGGGGGGTGAGCACGGAGGGGGGGGGGGTGAGCACGGAGGGGGGGGGTGAGCAAGGGGGGGTGAGCACGGAGGGGGGGGGGGGTGAGCACGGAGGGGGGGGGGGTGAGCTCGGAGGGGGGGGGGGGTGAGCAAGGGGGGGGGGGTGAGCACGGAGGGGGGGGGGTGAGCACGGAGGGGGGGGTGAGCAAGGGGGGGTGAGCACGGAGGGGGGGGGTGAGCACGGAGGGGGGGGGTTGAGCACGGAGGGGGGGGGTGAGCACGGAGGGGGGGGGTGAGCAAGGGGGGTGAGCAAGGGGGGGGGGTGAGCAGGGGGGGGTGAGCAAGGGGGGGTGAGCAAGGGGGGGTGAGCAGGGGGGGGGGTGAGCAAGGGGGGTGAGAAAGGGGGGTTGAGCAAGGGGGGGGTTGAGCAAGGGGGGGGGTGAGCACGGAGGGGGGGGTGAGCAAGGGGGGGTGAGCACGGAGGGGGGGGGGGTGAGCAAGGGGGGGTGAGCACGGAGGGGGGGGGGTGAGCACGGAGGGGGGGGTGAGCAAGGGGGGGTGAGCACGGAGGGGGGGGGGGTGAGCACGGAGGGGGGGGGGTGAGCAAGGGGGGGGGGGGTGAGCACGGAGGGGGGGGGTGAGCACGGAGGGGGGGGTGAGCAAGGGGGGGTGAGCACGGAGGGGGGGGGGTGAGCACGGAGGGGGGGGGGTTGAGCACGGAGGGGGGGGGGTGAGCACGGAGGGGGGGGGTGAGCAAGGGGGGTGAGCAAGGGGGGGGGGTGAGCAGGGGGGGGTGAGCAAGGGGGGGTGAGCAAGGGGGGGTGAGCAGGGGGGGGGGTGAGCAAGGGGGGTGAGCACGGAGGGGGGGGGGTGAGCACGGAGGGGGTGAGCAAGGGGGGTGAGCAGGGGGGGGGGTGAGCAAGGGGGGGGTGAGCACGGAGGGGGGGGGTGAGCACGGAGGGGGGGGTGAGCACGGAGGGGGGGGGGTGAGCAAGGGGGGTTGAGCACGGAGGGGGGGGTGAGCACGGAGGGGGGGGGTGCGCAAGGGGGGTGAGCAAGGGGGGGGGGTGAGCAGGGGGGGGTGAGCAAGGGGGGGGGGGTGAGCAAGGGGGGGGGGTGAGCAAGGGGGGTGAGCAAGGGGGGGGGGTGAGCAGGGGGGGGTGAGCAAGGGGGGTGAGCAGGGGGGGGTGAGCAGGGGGGGTGAGCAGGGGGGGGTGAGCAGGGGGGGGTGAGCAAGGGGGGTGGGCAAGGGGGGGGGGTGAGCAGGGGGGGTGAGCAAGGGAGGGGGGGGTGAGCAGGGGGGGGTGAGAAAGGGGGGGTGAGCAGGGGGGGTGAGCAAGTGGGGGGGGGTGAGCAGGGGGGGGTGAGCAAGGGGGGTGAGCAAGGGGGGAGGGTGAGCAAGGGGGGGTGAGCAAGGGGGGGGGGGTGAGCAGGGGGGGCGAACGGTTTGGTTCGGGGCGGGCCCCTCGCTCCCTGGGAGGCTGCGGGCGCATTCCCCTCGCAGCCTCATTAGGGCCGTGATTGCTGAACGCGGCTCTCAGGTCGGCGGACGGATGGACGGATCTTTGCTCTGATTTATATCGGATGCCAGAGGGACAGCGTGCTCAAAGTCGAGTCTCATCTCCATTAAGGGAAGCCTATTTATCATGTCTTTTAGCGTCGGCCTATGTGCCACCTGCCCAGATAAACGAGTCTTCACTTAATGCTGAGGGGCTTACTTTTAATGGCGAATCAATCGCCCAAGTTAGGCAACTGCTTAATTGATGATCATGTCTATTGAGCGGGGGAGCCATAGATTAGATCAGCCACACCGATGAAAAGAGAGAATATTGTTGGTTTTGTCTTTAGATTTCCACGGGGGCGCGCTAACAAATGACAATTAAACAATACGCCGCTGGGCCTTGCCACTGGTTTATAAACGGCGGTTGCCGTGCACGCGGGCAAGCGCAATATTCTCTCAATATTCTCATTCGCGAACAATAAAGAGGGGGGAGGGGGCCACTTAATTACAAAGCGGGATTGATTTAATCTGATGAAATGGGCAGTTAAACCAAAATAGGTCAATTTTTGCTTCTCCGAGGAACACCCAAGCAGCATGACCTCATGTTTATTATCTTAAAAGCCTTTTAAAATCATTTAAATGCTCCGCTCACCCCTTTGTTTTTTAACCGCCGGTGACATTTTTAGCGGCGGAGATTT